GAAGGAGAGGGAGAGGGAGGGAGGGAAAGGGGAGAGAGGGGAGGGAGAGAGAGAGGGGAGGGGAGGGAAGGAGAGGGAGCCCGAGGGAGGGAGGGAAAGGGGAGGGAGGGGAGGAAAGGAGAGGGAGCCGGAGGGAGGGAGGGAAAGGGGAGAGAGTGGAGGGAGGGAAAGAGAGAGAGAGAGAGAGCTCAAACATCAGACACATTTCCCTCTCTGCTGTTAACTAGCTGTTGTCCATCCAGTTGGAACATATCGGTACAGGCAATCCTCGACTTACGACCGCAATTGAGCACATTCACGTTGCTAAGCAAGACGTTTGTTATGCGAGTTTTGCCCCTTTAATGACCTTCCTGGCCGCAGTTGTTAAACGAATCACTGCAATCAATAAGTCAGTGACCCTGTTAGGTGGTTTCCAACATTGACTTTGCTTGTCAGAAGCTCGCCAAAGGGGATCACGGGACCCACTGCGACCGTCATAAATACGAGTCAGTTGCAAAGCCTCCGAATTTGGATCATGGGGGCACTGCGACCACCATGTGAAAAAAGGTCGTAAGGTCGCTTTTTGGGACAGTCACTAAACGAACCGGACGGCCTGAATTTTTTAGCTACCAGCTCTGAGGATTCAAGAGTCCCAGATCTGTTGCGTAGTTGTCCACACCTGTCAACGGCAACCTTTTCCGAAAGACGTGCCGAGGGAGATTTTTGCAAATCTCTGCCCTGTACGATCCATCGGGGTTGTTGTTGCTTTGGTAACTTTTGTTTTGTGTTTGTGTCGTCTAAAAACCTCCCTCATTTTTTGAGCCAAGCAAACCCGAAACGAGGCGGTTGACCCATAGATGGAGGGTGACGAGGAGGAGCAGATTGACCCGGGTCAGAACAAACTCGGGCTTGCCTTCTTCTTTTTTTCTTGCTTGCTTGCTTTTTTTTTTAGCTGCAAAACATCTCCACATATAATTTGGCACGTCGGCTCTGAGAAACAGGAAGTGGGTTCCGTGAAAGGCTTTGCGTGCAATTCTGGCCCGCGGTTGCCAAATTGCTAATGCGCTTCGGAGGGCGGTCTAAAGTTTCGGGTTAAATGTCAGGGGGGGTTGGAGCTGTGGGAAGAGGGGGGGAAACTGCAGGAAATTTTACCACCATCAGCCCCCCACACACATTCCCCTCCGGCCTGTTTTTGTGGGTTTCCTGCAAGTCAACGTCTCAGCTCTACTTCATCCGGCGGAAAAAATCATCTTAATGATGATGATGATGATGATGATAATATAAAATAATATAGAATAATAGAAATAGAATGACTGTGGCAAAGGTAAGCAAGGGGAATAGAATAGAATAGAACAGAACAGAACAGAACAGAATTTAGAAATAGAATTTAGAAATAGAATTTAGAAAAGAAATAGTATAGAATAGAAATAATGGAATAGAATGGAATGGAACGGAACAGAACAGAACAGAATTTAGAAATAGAATTTAGAAATAGAATTTAGAAAAGAAATAGTATAGAATAGAAATAATGGAACGGAACGGAACAGAATAGAATTTTTTCCCCATTCTACCACCCTTTTTGCCCCAGTTAAGTCAATCAGTGCCATTGTTAAATAAGTAACACAATTGTTAAGTGCATCTGGTTTTCCCTGTTGCAAAAGGGGATCACATGACCCCCCCCCCCAAAAAAAAACATTGCAATTGTCATAAATATGAACCACTTGCCAAGTGTCCGAATTTCGATCCCAGGGATGCCTAAGTGTGAAAAACAGTCATAAGTCATTTTTTTCCAAGCTGTTGTAACTCTGAACGGTCACTAAATGAACAGTAAAGGACTACTCTGTGTGTGTTTTTTAAAACATGCCTGAAGATGCTTTCTTTTCAACCTTGCCCCGTAAGAATTAAAAACCAGCTTTATCTCCAACTCTTAATTCTCTCTCTCTCTCTCTCTCTCTCTCTCTCTCTCTCTCTCTCTCTCTCTCTCTCT